TTCGCACTCACTCCAGCAGTTCGGATCTACTTTAGAGCCCCTCGTCCCTGCCATCCAGACCACATTTGGCCAGAGGATAAATTGACTCTCCTCAGGAGTCCGACCCTCTGTGTTTCCTAGATGACAGTTACAAAAGACGCAGTCAAGCATTACAGTCGTCTGAGGCAAGTCACATTCGGATCACAATAGATTTTTTTTTTGTTTTTTTAAACCTTATCATAAGAGGAAATCAAGCTGGCATTAAAAGAGTAAATACACTGGACTCTGAGGGGAAAAAAAAAAACAAAAAACAAACTTACTTCAATTAAATGCTTCACTACACAACACTCCAAAGCACTCTATGTTCTCTTACATCACCATCAAGAAACTTCAATGTCCAGTACAGACAACACTACAAGGAAAATTAATGGTTTACATTTGGAGGATGGAATGAACGAACCGCTCCTTACTCTGCTACACCCTGAATGCAACAAACTGGCAGGTGGAGGCCTGCGAGCACCGCTCCCCGCTTGTAACACGTTCGCTTGTTACACCATCGCTCTGCACCGCGGGGATGAGCGCAGCTCCTTGACCCGAGATGCCCCGTGGTTTTGGCCGAGCCCTTCGGGTCAAGGGCTTACGCCGACCCAGCGCCAAACGCTTCGAGGCCACTCTAGCTGCGGCCTCCGGGTGCCCCAACGAGCCTTGTGCTAAAAAAGGTTCATTTTTGTGGGCAATGGGAATTTAACTGCCAAAAAACATTGGCGACCGGTGGCCGGCAGACCACGGCTAACAAAAAAATCCAAAGCCTCCCAAGACGTGGACGTGCAAACGGACTCGGTCACAAACTGTACAGCGTGATGGTGATCTGATCGCCGGGAGGGCCAGCGAAATGCAAACCCCGGGTTTAGGGGTCACTTTTTTTTTCCGGCGTTGCCTTGCCAAACGAGGCAAGGAGTATAAAGCCAAAGCAGGTTGGATGCAACTTTTCTAGGAAAGCAGAACAAGCTACTATAAAGGAATCGGCTTACACACCCCTGCTTAATGCCCGACCGTTCAGACTCACGTCGCTGCATGAACAGATGAATGTGTATTCCTGCACTGCCACAACTCTCATTCTTTACTTACTGAAACATAAGGCTGCCTCCATTTAGGAGAGATAACTTAGTTTATTTGCCCTAGGAAATTACTTACGATATTCTTCCGAATGGCGCAAAAGCTGCTTTTATATCTTCAGTTGTAATTTCTGGACTGAGGTCTCCGACAAAGACATGGAAATGGTCTTTTTGGGAAAAAGAGAAAAGAGGATCTTAGTGTTTGAAGACGACCCCCGAACACACGCGCGCGCGCGCGCACACAGAGCATCGCAATCTCGGCTTTCCGGCTATTATTAAAAACTACGTGAAGACTAGAGTTGACTACGAAGCAGAATTTACTGCTGTTCGTAACAGGCCCTTTGCTTGGCAGCGCCACAGAGGCAGCGACTTTAAGGATACTACAGTGACATACGGCATTTACGTTCTGCATTTTACAAACTGCTTTTACGACCAGTCGGCATTTACTGTAGAAAGCCTTGAACTATTTACTTAATGTGCCAAGACCACACGAAAATCGTCCTCTCCGCACGCTAGTGTTAAGCTTCGACACGGGAGGAGGTCGCTAAGCGATTCAAGAATCTGACCAACCGAAACGTCTAGCAGATTCAAGAAACGCAGGGTAACACTCGCTCTGGAGCAGGACGTTATTTGGAACCCAGCCACGGTGGCTGGTTTAACACCATGGGTCGTGAAGAACAAATCAAAAAAATACCTTGCATTGCAACAGTTTGGCTGTTAAAGCATTTGAGTTCCCAAAAGCCAACAGTTTTGGTTGCCCAGCCACTACACCATGTGAATCCGTGAGAATTCAGTGTGTGTGAATCCGTGTGCAAGTGAACTGAGACTGAAGGCAACAGAACGGAAACAGTAATCCCTTCAATTCATACCAGAGCCATAAAAAACACGCACCAAAGCGAGACAAGGGTCCTGTATCTAAGGAGTTTTCCACTACAACGTGTCACGCGCCGGCCTAGCAATATACAGACTCATTTGTACTACAGCAGGTACGAAAGTCTCGAGTCTGGTCGGACGCTGATGTAGTTTAGCCCCACTGGCCTACAGAAACTCAAAGCTTGTCGAGAACAGCAGCGATCCGTAGGCTCGCCGGGAGCGACGGAGCCCCGTTTGGGAAACGGTCTGGATACTCCCAAGGAATGTGTCTGAAGCGGCGCGTGCTGCAGCCTCACAGGGAGCCAACTATTCTGCCTCGATAGCAGGGGACAAGGGGCTTCGGGGCTTTTTGGTTTTGTTTTTTTTTTTTTTACAAGTGCACTCGTAACAAACAGCTGGAGATTAGCACCAGAACCAAAGAGCGGACACTAGATCACTTTCTGACGCTACAGGGAAATGAAAGGGAAGTCTCTCCATAAAAAATAAATTCGTAACGAACAAAACCCCATACATAGCTTCAGGTGGTTAGTGAATACCCTTGAGAGATTTCATTTTATGTTTAAGAAGATACAATTACCTTGTGAACGCTGTGTGTTGACAACGGTACTACCTGATGACAAAGATTAGATTTGTTCTTAAGTTTATTAACACAAACACATTAAATAATATCTTAGGATTACGATCAAAACATTACTGCATATAATTGTACGATGCTTACTCTTTACGTTTAAAAACTACTCGTACAAATCAAACACGTACTCAAAGCGTAAGCGACACTTACTGCTGGTATCTTTCTTCTGGCTGCTGGGGGTCGTCGCCCAGTTCACTTTGACCTCCTGCAAACGTTAGTCGCTCACGTTAGACCGAGCAAATCCCAGCTGAGCTCAGATACCCCCAGCATTCAACTCTTGACACTACAGGGGCACCAGGCGTGGAAGTTTGGGGTGAAAGCTCAAGTTTAAGACACGCTGCTCGGGAGAGGGTTCGTTCTTCCAAGCTGCGTTCCGCTGGTTAAGAGCAAAGACGGTAAACAGACCTGGTCTGGGAGTTTTTGGGTTGGTTTGGTTGGGGTTTTTTTGCAGGGGTGGGGAAGAGAGAGACGCAATAAGGACGGCAGAGTTAAAATCTCCCTTCCGGCCCCCGTCTCTGAGCCCTCCCCGGTTCCACACCCCCACCTCCCTCCGCATTCTTCCTACAACAGTCAAAACAGCTCTTCTTGTCAGTCGTGTCACGTCAAGACCTCTGCCCAAACCGCGTGTCTAACGTCCGCAGCGCATCCACTGCGTCTCAAGTGGTATTTCACCCATGGATATTTCACCCGCGCCACCCGAGACAGCCTGTTTTTCAACTCCAACTCACCCTGTAGACACGACAGCTTACCTTACCCATTATCTTCCGGCCATTCATAGCAGCCAGTGCTGCAGCCGCGTGCCGGTGCTCGTAGAACTCCACGAAACAGTACGGGTCATTTCCAGCTGTCTGATAAAAGAAACAAACACGGGATTGCCGACACAAACCTCTTCAAACTGTGCCCTCGCTATTATACTCTGCTCCTTATTCGTTACGCCTAAATGTCTCAAAATGGATAGGCTTTTTTACTCTACACTGAGACCACAGTCAGTGCGCTAACAACCCTCCAGGGGGTTTCAGTTCCGCTTCAGAAAGGTAAAATTACGGCAAGGAAGAACTCTTCCCATCTCGTCTACCGCACGCCCCCCACCCCGTTCGCTCCCCCTCGCAATACCCACCCATCCTTCGATTTAACACCGGGCACGAGGCAGAAATGATGCCAAAAGCACACGACTGTGATCTCCAGCCTTATTACGTCCCTTTGATGCGGTCACGCCGCATTTCCAGTGGAATTCCGAAACACGCAAGTACGGCCCAAAGCCGCTAGCTACGAGAAACACGAAAATCACTCGGGGAAGGCTCTTACATCCATTATCATTTTGCAGTTTTTGCATGGTCCGATCTGGCTGAACAGCTGGAGGATCAGAGCTTCGGTCACATCCCTTGACAGGTTCCCCACGTACCTGTAGGATCAAATAAAAAGTGAGAAGCCGTCCTGACGCTCCAGTCGGCTCGTCGGTACTGAGCAAACGCGGCGCAAAGCCGTTCCCCGAACACCCAACCCGCCCGGTCAGGCCGTCGAAATGAAGCGTGCGGCAGGACCGTGTCCCGACCCGTGGAGCAACGGGGCAGAAGTGGCTCGGCGACGGCGGGCAGCGACCCCACCTCGCTCCCGCCAAAGGTCTGCGTTTCTAAAATCTCACCCCGGGTTCAAAGCTGAACGGGGAAAGCCAGATACGGACAACTCGACCGACCGAATGGATTTCCACGTTACGAGAACCACACGCAGCCGTCGTTCACCAAGCACCGCTGCCCTAGCAGCTCAGCCCGGTGTTTAGCAAGCACGTTACACGACATTTAGTCAGCTCCTTTTAAAAAAAGGACTCACCGTCTGAAAGCATTAGAGCTGCCTGAACCAACCAAGGGCAAACGTGCTCAAGCGTGGGCATTCCCCCGTCCTCCTCCACGGGAAAGGATCAGCCTCCTCAAGCACAAACAGAACCCGAACCCCTGCTCCGATTTGGGATTGTGGCACCCCACCCACGGGTGTGTGGGGGGGTTTGTTGTTGTTGTTATGCCCAAGTCACAGGATTTTTTTAAAAAAAGCACACGGAGAAACCTCAGCTCCAAAGGTGTGGCAGCACCTCTCCGCAAAGGAACGTTATGTGGCACACCGTGGCCTCTGCAGTGAGAGCCGCAGCCAAATCGCGCTGCTGAAACCACATCAATAAATCAGCAATCCTCCCCCGTCTCCGTGCAAGAGTTAAAAAGATGTTGTAAGAGAACAACAGGGCAGCAAAACCAGCGACTTCTTGCGCTCCTTCTGTTGACAGGAGGCTGTGAACAGCCTTCCTGAAGAGATGGATGCGCTCCAGTATTTGCTTTAGCAGGAGAGAATCGGGGGGAATGAGACACACAGCCTCTGTTTTCCTGTCAGAAATGACCCGGCGAGCCACGTATTAATAATTTGAACAACTATTTTAGGTAGGACTCACAATCGTACTCCTTTTTAAAGTCAACGCACGCTTCACCAGAATCGGGTCGTCACAGGCACCCTCTCGCTCAACAAAGCGGGCAATTCCTGCACTTCTGATGAGGTTTCCTTCAACAGAGGAGGGTTTAGCGTACTGCCATTAAGGCAATTAACTTTGTGCTCGGTAACACCAGGACATTCTACCCCGCATCACGTTCAACCGAGAGTCATAACTAGTGAGACTTCTTTTTCTCTCTTTTTTTTTTTTTAATATTATCGGATAATGAACAAGCCAAGGCACTAGAGCGACGAGACCCTCACGCCACCTTCCAGGTCTAAGTTTATTAACAGTTTATTTGTAACACAAAGTTTCCTAGACACGGTGTCTACACCCTGACCTTTGCACTCGCGCTGGATTTTCACCCCGATAACCGGACGGGCACCTCCCGAAGCCTTCCCTACCCTAACACTGGATTTAGCTGGAAAAAGCAGGATTTAGGCGAGGGATCTCCGACAGACCCATGAATCTCTGCATGGCCAGACCTTTCAAAAGGCATCCTCGAAGGATCAACTGCAGCAAGATATACGTGTACGTACACGTACATAGAGAGACAGCACGTGTGACTGCGTACTGGACGTTGACCTACTCGCTTCCCCACAAAGGTAAAAACACGTCTCGGCTCCTCATGCACAAGACGTGGTCAAGGCATCCCCCAACGGCCACGCCAGCAGCAATGACACACGGAACAAGAGCGTTCTGCAAAACACTGAAAAAGGAGGGGGAATCGTAAAGCGCACCGGCCGTTCAGAAAAAGAGCTCAACATCGTAAAAATTCAGCAGCATTTTTCTCCTGTTATTCGTCAGCGTAACCTCACGACCCCGCAGCTGGGTACATCTGCTCTCTGCGGCCAGCAAGCCTGGAGAGGTTTCCCCAATCCACCGGCTGACAAACGACGACAAAGTCCTGCGATGCTACCAACCGTGCCAGGACCGATGGGAAAAACACAGAGCTGTAACCTCCCCCCCCCGAGCAACAACCCCCCGTGTTCTTTTCTCTGACGCCCTCTCCCCGCGCTACACTCGAGCTGTTTGACCATCCCAACCTTTCCACGGAGTTCCGCCGCAGCTCTCCTTCCGTGTAGCTGGCACACGGGCAGGGTCCAGCGCACCCGGACCTTGTCCTGGACCAGTCAGACAAGAAATAACCGAGGGCCGAGGTGACCCTGCCAGGTAGGGCCAGCTAATTCGGCAGGCGACCTCTCCTACGTGACGGTTCTGTCGTCTCCTGCACCTTTCCCATTCCTCTCTTTCCTGCTAATTGGATTCTCCTTAATGAGTCGGTCGATGTTTCTTTGCAGACTATGGAAGGCAAGCTCTGGAGACAGCTCCGTTTATTCACAGCACATTGATCAGAATGCGGCTTCTCGAAAAAGAGCACCAAACTATCGAGCGTTAGCGCTTCTGCATCTTTTTAGGCACGCAAAGTAAATGAGAAGTACACGTATTCCACAAGTATCTACGTACTTACATGAAAGATACAAACAAGAGGTCTTTGTAAAGTTCAAAAACACTGTCTGCCTTGTAACAAATTTATAATCTCTGCCGTTGAAGAGTGGCTTTCAAGGAAGGTCACCGGCCACGTGAAAATGAGCTGCCTACCCAGGAAATCATTTACATAAGTAATACGGCTCCTAACGTGCTTCGGAACGCCGAGGCTCTAGCACTCCCCTTCAAAGAAACAGATTACGTGGAAATGGCCAAAACAAGAAGCTACCTCCAGCGGGGTCTGGAAACTGTTCCAGAAAAAGGACTTAAACACGCTAAGGGGACTAAAGAAAAAGGCACATGCGTGTTGCAGACCACTTTGGTGGCCCCTCCCGACGCAGCAAGACGACGCAACCCAAGAGGGAGCGCCGTAACCCAGGTCCAGATGGGGTTCCTGTAGCACTACCTACAGAAATCCTCGCGCAAGCAAATATTTAACACACACACGCTTCAGACCCGAGCTGGAGAGAGATTACTTTTAGCCGCACTTTCTTCCTTCAAGCTGCTCGCTCGAAGCCCCATCTGTGCAATTCAGCTCGTGACAATCCTCCGTATGACTTGAGAAAGTCACTCGGAGCGAGGCAGAGAAATACCGTTCCCAGTACGTTGCTCGATAGTCAGTTCCGCAGCCCAGAAACCCGGCCGTGTTTGTGCAATGAGCCGCACGTGCTCAAGGACAGGTAATTTATTCCCTCGAGCACACCCCGTCTACTTGCCGAGACCACTAAACTCCGGACGACGACTTCACTGCGATGGGGGAAACCCATTTTTCTAAATAAACACGTAAATACGCCAACAGGTCTGACCCATGTTTGCAGACGCCAAGAATAGTTCCAAAAACGCGCGTACTGGAAAGACAACGGGATCGTACACGCAGGGAGGCTGACAGAGTGTTTACCGCTCAGGAGAGCCTGGACCAGAGGAGCTGGCGTAAGTCACGTAAGAGCCCTGTTTTCCTGCAGTCACTCATTTAGCAACCCCTGGGGTAGGTGCAGCCGTCGGCCAAGGGCAAAACTTTCCCCTCACCTTGGAAAGACTCCTCTCCCTCCTGTCTTTCCTCCCCTCAACTCCCGTACTGAAACAGAGACCAAAGCTTAGGCAGAGGTGGAACGGAAGGACCGGAGGCTGCGATTTCCCTGACCTACACGGGGGAAACCACTCCAGATAACGCCTGCCAGAGGAAAGGAGAGAAACGCACACGTGAGACGCGCACCGGAGCTCTCCTCTGCCTTGCACCGCGAGCACCAGCCGACCGAAACCCCCCTGACAGCGGCGGGCGTCAGCTGCCCAACACCACCAGAGAAGTTGCCTGTAATTAAGGGACCCCATTTATGATTTTAACGAGGCGAGGAGCCGCCCTGCAGCTACCGTTAGTTCCTGGGGAAACAACAGGCTCGCAGCGTGCTTCGACCACTTGGGGAGGCGGCGATTTC